GTCATATGTTTACCATATATTGTTAAAATTGTAGACGTCTATAATAAATCCTGCTAGGACCTATAATTCCCTCAGAATCGCTTCATTGTATAGATTGAATAAGTTCGGTGAGAAGACACATTCTTGTTTTACACCTCTTTCTGGATTATCTAAATATACTTCCTAAATATATAAACGGTTAAATAGGAGTTCCATTAGTTCTATATGACGTACTTTATCAGACATTTTTGCATAATCTATTAAACACAGGTACAGATACTTCTGCATTTGAATTAATCGCTCTAATATGATTCTGAGAATAAATATCGCATTCCTTGTTACAGTGTCTTTAACGAACCCACACATTTCTTGTCCCATTTCAGGTTTGATTCTGCTATTCATCACAATTCCGTTGATAAGTTTTCTTATATCTGGCTCATTAGGCTGATTGTCCGTAAATTCAAAATCGTATGTTGCCCTGGGCCATAGTCGTTCTCATGAGAAATAAAGCCATAGATTAAACTTGTTAGAAATGGTTATACTCGTCTAACGAGACGCCAGCCTCCATGTAATGTATGTCTGTACACACACACACACACACACACACACACACACTCACACACACACACGCACATACGCATATATATATATATATATATATATATATATATATATATATATATATATATATATATATATGAGAGAGAGAGAAAAAATACAAATATAAAATTGTCATTTAGCTGATTGTTTGTTACCTTCAGTATTCCGACTGTAGAATTTCGTAAACGGACTCTTTTGCAATCACTTCATCCATTTCTCAGGGGATATCAGTAATTATATATAATTATTCTTAAAAATGTTGTATATTTATGGTTAAATAGTGTTTTAAGGATAAACAATTTCAAAATAGTAAACCAGTAGTTACTCAATACCTTTCATCCGATCATAGTTAATCTTCATTATGTGCTCTCTTTATATACAGACCACTGAGGGATTAAGGAAATTTTGGAGAAGAGACCAGTATAACTAAATTCTTGTTCAAGTTAATTATTGAGCATATTTTTAGTCATAACCTTGAATTTGTTTCTTTTATTTATTAAAATATTTATTTATTCATTTTATGTCGTTTATTTTTAGCTCATTTTATCTATTCATTTTCTTATTTATTTTATTTTTATATTTTTTGTAAACTTTCTACGGTTCTAAAGTTTAATATTTGAAATAAAGTATATTATCTTGAGTTTATGCGTAATGTAGCTTTAGGTAGCATAACAGGAATTTAATTTCGTGTTTGGATTTGAAAATTAGCTATATTTGTTTAGTAGTTTATATTGTGAAAAATTAACTATCTTTTGATTAATAGTTTATATTGCTTTATAAAAATTATTTTTCCTACTTTTTCCTCTTGACAAAAGGTTACATTTATTTAGCATAATCATTAATAAACAAGTCTCTCGAAAAATAACTGTGAAAAAAGCAGCATCTAGCGAATTCCTTTTCATTTGTTTTTGAATAGATTAACCAGAAACAAGCAAGAAAGTAAGATTTCCGTATAAAAAAAATATTTTCCCGAAATTTTCTTCAGATGACCTAAAATGAAAAATGATGGCTGGCGCAGGGAACTTCTCTGACTCATTTTTTATCTCTCCATTTGCTGGTGAGTAGTCGGCAACATTTCCATGCTGGGAACAATAAAAATTTGCTGATACCAACCCCACACGTTGTGCCATTTTTGATAATGATTAAACCTCTTGCATAGTGAAAAGATGAGCTTTGATTTCAGCAAGAATTCGAGACTTTGCAACTTGGGGGTATTGGCCTAAAGACAACTGACGCAGCCCCCTGTGCACCGACGACCGTAACCCACACGAACACCAATGCAAGCCACATAATGTTAATCGCACATTTCCTCAACTTACATAAGTTTCCAACTGCCTTTGTACAGAGTTGACACAAAGTGGAGTAATAAATGGTTTGATTACAGATACTAGACATTATTTATTTTTTTTATGTCCCCGCTGTTTATATATATATATATATATATATATATACGTATGCTTTTGTGTGTGCGTGTGTGTTTGTGTACGTATGATTGTGCGTACATATATAGAGTGGAAGAGAATGGAGAGAAAGAGCGATATTAAAAATATTAATGTGTCACCAAAATCAGAGGCATTATTTTTAAGTGGAGCATGAATCTGCTCAGCGAATTACGTCTCCATTCGTCACTAACCTTAAAAGACGTTGCTTGTCGTAATCAGAGGCATTTGCAGACAGGGAGGCGGAATAAAAACATGCAATCTCCTTGAGGTCGGAAACAAGAACAGAACGATAATTGTTACGAAAAAATAAAATGAAAACAAAGAAAATAAAGAAAGCAAAGAATGTTTCAAATAAATATAGAATAACGTAAGAAGAAGAAGAAGAAGAAGAAGAAGAAGAAGAAGAAGAAGAAGAAGAAGAAGAAGAAGTAGTAGTAGTAGTAGTATTACTAGTGCGGTAATAAGTTGTAAAGAAGTCGGAGGTTGAAAGAATTGTAGAGACGTGACGACGTCGTTGGGATGTGTCAGAATAAACCCATTGCGAAGAACAGACAAAAAGTCAAGGTGGAAGAGGGCGGAGGAGTTCAATCAGAGCAAATGGGTGAAGATGAGACAATTTCTTGTCACGTGATCTCCAACCGCGTTCTCAGTTAGAATGTCCGGCGGCAACATTCTTTACTGATGATACTTCCGGTATGAGGTCATTGTTCTTATGCGAAATGCAAAGCAAAGAGGAGCCCATAACATGGACAATTGATTTTTGACCATTGTCCATCACGTCAAAAATAAATAAATAAAAATAAAATAAAATAAGTACACTCGTGCTATCTGTTTCGATCATCATGCTCCTTCATTTTATTTATTTAATTCTTTCTTCTGACTTTTACACTTAACTCGAATTTCTTTTCCTCCCTCTCTCTCGATTCTTGGTCTTTCTCTCTCTCTCTTTTCTGTGACAATTTCCTTTTGTTTCGGTATATTTTATTTTTCCCTTTAAGTCCTTTATACTCTTTGAGAACCTGAGAGATTAAATCCTTAATACTTTTTCTTTGAAAACTCACTTTCACTCTCCATATTTCTCTTCCGCTACCGCTGATCATGGAGAGGGGGTCGAAAATACTTGGATTAACAAAAAATACGCCACATTTCTTGATGAATTTTATCTAAACATAAAAAAAAATAATTATAGAACTAAAAAATAGGATAGTGACGTATTTATATATATATATATATATATATATATATATATATATATATATATATATATATTCGTAATTTATTTCACATTTCTATATCATTATATGTGTAAACATTTTCATATATAAATAAAATATTTCTGTGAAAGAACAACACGAATAAATTCAAAAAGAAAACTTAGCTTATCCTTTTGTCCTCACATTTATATTGATAAAGTCTATCAGAAGACAAAATACGTCAGCTAAGATACTTTTTTCCTTTTGTCTTCATTATATATATACGTATTTCTATATATACAAGCATATATATATATATATATATATATATATATATATATATATATATATATATATATATATATATATATATATATGTGTGTGATACTGATGTTAACACTGCTGTTGTCCTCAGTGTCCACTTTTTATATTTACATGCACTATCTATAATATTACCTATTTTAAAACTATATTTTATCATTTTATATATATATATATATATATATATATATATATATATATATATATATATATATAGATAGATAGATAGATAGATAGATAGATAGATAGATAATATTATGGTCATATATATATATATATATATATATATATATATATATATATATATATATATATATATATATATATATAATTCCCAAGAGGATAGAATCCAGGTAGAACTCAATGTCCAGGACAGTTGAGCTTTTTATGTTATATTATATATATATAATGTATGTATGTTTTCCCGATATTACTTCCCTTTAATAGAAACGTTATTTTCAGTGGGTACAAAGGGATAGTAATTAAAACGCGCGTGCCCACTAAAAATAACGTTTAGAATAATAAGAAATATATATTTATATATATTTATATATATATATTACTTTAAGCACTATTATCGTGGACTATTTTTATTTTTTAATAGACGCGCCTTTTTTTATTTTTTTTTTAACAGTGTGTAATACTTCTATCTATTTGCGCATTCGAGAAATCTAAGAAAAATATGTCCCCCCGGCAGGAACTGTACTTGTGTCTCATTTTGTAGGGGGAATTTCGTAAATATCAGGTATGCTTTACCGCTATGTCACGAAGATCTTCAGAGTTTGCAAGGCTTCTTTTAACTTATTTAAGGAAAGTTTCTTCTCTTCACTCACTATTTTTCTCAAAATACCATATTTGCACTCCTTCTTGGCTGAAAACGTAAAAAAATCTATTAGAACTAATTGATTCATTCTTAATCCAATATATTTATTTCAAAATTGATTATAATGAACACTTCTTATTTGAAATAGATTTCCAATTTTTAATTAATTGTTAAGCAGTGTTTAATATTGCGCATTTGAGAAATTTGAATAAAGAAATTGCGCCCAAGGCCAGGGTTCGAAATTGCGTCTCACTTTGTAGGGAAAACTCTCGTTGGATTCAGCATGCTTTGTCACTCGACCACGAAGGACGTAATACTAAATAAGACTGCTTACTGTGAAGTATATATGTATGTGCGCATAGCCAATAAATTAATTTGGTTTAATTATCTACCGACCGACTTCAAAGTTTCGCGTACACTGCACTTATCAGCTGAGCCTGATGAGCGTTATGTATCCGAAACTTTGAAGTCGGTCAAAAGGTACGACATTTGAACCCCAACAGTTTATTGATATTTTCATTCTTTTCATCACTTTAAATTATCCTCACCTTGGAATACGTTGAATTATTGTAATGTGTCGTATTTTGATAGGTGCTAGAATTTTGTGTTATGAATATTTTGTGTTATTACTATATATCCTAGTTTATTTTCCTTAATTTCTCCCTTCTCTTTCTTTTTCTCCCGCTTTCATTCTCCTCTCTCTCTCTCTCTCTCTCTCTCTCTCTCTCTCTCTTCCTTATTGTATTTACTTTTCTCTCTCGATTTTACTCTTTCTTTACCTTCGCTTTTCTTCTTCGCTAGATTCCTGAGCTCTCCCCCTTTCTTCCTTTTCCTTTTTCTCCCAGCGTTTTCCTTTCACTAATTTCCTCTCTCTCTCTCGCTCTCTCTCTCTCTCACGCACGCGCACACACACACACACACACACACACACACACACACACACACACACACACACACACACACACACACACACACACACTGTCGTATCTTTCCCTCACTGCGTTGTGACCAGAATTTCAGTTTCCAAAGCCTCTGAATGTCTTTATTAAAAGCTGCCTTGGCCTCGAAGCAAAATTCCTGATGATTTCACACGATATTCACTGTTTTCCTTTTTAAATGATTTGTTGCGTAGCTGATTCCACCCCCTTCCCATAAAAATTGAAAATCTATGTTTTGTTTATTTCTGTTTATCGGAAAGGGACGCTCCAAAAGTAACACTTCCTATTTATTTCTATGGCAATTACCAAACATTGAGAAAAGACGATAATCCGGTTGGATGGAACATCTTTTCAGCTTCAAAAAGCAACACTTTTCCAAATCGTTTGTGATGCCTTTTTACTAGCGCTCTTAAGCAAAAATGGAAAATATTGACAAGAGCAAGGAGCGAAGTCAAGAGAAAAGAAAGAAATAGGCTAAAATATGTGCAGCTACATGCACCACTGAGAACGTGGCTTGTCCCTGTCGCCAGTACCGACACTAATTACTCACCACCTAACTGTGCTTACATTTATTGTTTAGTCTCCACAATCGTCGACAAATATTAATGGAGGATTTTCTTTTACTAGATCGATTAATTCAGTTAAATTTTGTCTTCTGTAATTGCTTTCAGGTTAGATATCATTTTACCAGGGTGCTATCTCTTAGATATTTCACATATTTTACGTTCCTTATTCTGCCTGTTTTTTATTTTATTTTTATGTTTTCTTTTTATTCTTAACTTCTTCCATATTTGTTCTTTCTTTCTCACTTACTTCTTTAGTTTGTCTTTTCTTTTTTATCTGTTACAAGTCCTTTCCATTCAGTTTTTCCCCCTCATATTGTTACCTGTTCTTCTTTCCTTACTTTCTTTCCATTTTTGTTTTGTCTTCTTTTTTACCACTTCCTTTGTTTTTCCTTCATTCGTTTTTTTTTTTTTTTCATGCGGTTTTCCTAATTGAATTTTCCTTTTTACTTTCTTTTGCGTTATACCCTTATCCTCTTTTTTAGCTTTCCCTTCTATCTTTTTTCTGTCTTTGCTTTTACAGTTTTTCCCTTTCGTTGTTTCTTGAATTTTCTTTACTTTTCTATTTATTTCTCCTTTTCATTCTTCTTATTTATTTATTTACAACCCGTCTTGCTTTTCTTTATATTCCTACCTCTTTATTTTCTTTCTTCTCTTCCTTGTCTGTCCTTCCATTTTTCCTCTGTCACCATCCGGCTTCTTGCCCATTATTCTGAAGTTTTAATTTTGAAGTCCTTTCATCATCATTCATCCACTTTTCACTTCTTTTTTTTTTCTTTTGTCTAGAACCAAACCATCTACCCGCACACCTCTCCCTTTTCATTGAATTTCTTTCCTCTTGGAACTGAATGGTGTAACCTTTGAATTGAACATTGACAGAAGTCATGAACCTTACATAGAAACTCCGACCGTAGCGCTTCTCTTTCAAGGCCTCCCAAAACCTAACGGAAATGTCACTCTCTTGACCCCTCTGATAAAACTCAGCTACTCCACTCAAATAAGCACGTCCGCGATTGCTGCGCTAAAACTAGAGAATCACTAGCGAATATGTATAGTCAATTTTCAACTCATTTTTAATGGAACATTATAGTGGTAAGTAATTGACTTCGACAGAAATCGAACTGATTTGCTTTAGTCTTGAAGTCAATCAACATCTATACTCCACACAACACAACTGTTTTCTTTTGGGATCTTACATACGAACATAGAGAGATACAATCGCTTCCTAAGATCAATGGTGAAAAAAAGCTTTCAGTGTGTAACTGTTGTTTTTTATATGCTGATGTAGACTAGCACTTCTTTTCGGATTATTGCTTCTTATGCACGGTGAGTAAGTTCACCCGAATGCAACGTATTCCCTAAGTATAAGCAATGTAGTTTACAGATATTGTTTGATATTGTGAGAACTTACTTGGAGATTCAAAGTAATGGGGCAACCAACTTAATGCTCTTCTTTTGCTAATATGTACCAAGACCCATCATAATGTCCTTTTCTTTGTAGCTCTTAGTGAATTTCGTTTTGTATCTATCTTGATCACTGTTCTGCCACCCATTTACACAAGTAGATTAAATAGGTTATGCTCTGCTTTCTTCTGTCCCTCTTTCCTTTAATGTCTTGTGAGTATCAAATTTTCTAAGCCGTCTTTCCTCATTATGTGCCCTAGACATTACAACCGTCTCTTTACAAAATACAATGCTCTAGAGCTGTTTCAAATCAATTGATAGATGTTTTCTCTCATGCATGTAAGACTTACGGCAAATGATGGGTGCCATTGACTGGAGAGAATAGTAATATTCGATCGTAAGGCCATTACAAATGTTTTAATTAATAATGTACGATTAGAGCTTATGGCTTATAACCATATCACGGTTCTCGCCCGATCATCGAAGTTAAGTAACGTCGAGCCTGGTCAGTAACTACATGGCGACCGCTTGGCAATGTCGGATGCTGTCAGCATGGATGTGAGGCTCAGTGTGAAAAATCGGAGAGCCGAATTCAAATTCCAGTCGGGTTTGTTATATAAACGTACGCGCAGATACCCTTGGGGAATGTATGAATCGACCTCTACTCGCCCAGATATGGGTTAAATAGTAAGATTTGTATCTGAAAAATTATTATTTTCCTCCAAAAAAAACTGTCAATAATCTCGTCGTTGACGTCGTCGGCTTTATCTCGTATCGAAATATTTAATTTCTTCTTTGTTGATTGTTTCTTTTATAATGAGGTCGTTGATGTCTAGCTTCACCGCCAACGTGCAGGGTCAGGAGTAGAAGCTTCCAGTTTTACTAGGACCTGCTCCCCTTATCCATTCCCTATCACCGTTTGGCTTTGCAATATTTGGTTGGAGGTGAAAGAAAATCAGAGTAAAAGAATGTGCCGATGGCGTTATTTGTTTAAGGTGGGCCTCAACTTGCCAAAAAGTGACCCACACACTTGATTCATGACGTTCCTCTGCGGCATATATGGAATGGGAAATATAAAATCAAGTTATGTAATGGTAACGAACTGAAACTAACTCTGTTTTAATTTCGAGTGGCGCCTTCTGTAGCATGTCAGTTAAGCACAGCCCTCCTCATCTCCTAGTTCAACCGCTGAGATCTGTTGTAATCGTAATCTGCTTTTTCCACCGTTGGGGTCTTTGGGGGGGTGCTCACGCTGAGTCTGTATCCTCGTTTTTGACTTTGCTGCTAAGGGTGACTCTACCAGGAGTTTAGTTAATGCAATATTCAATCGCAAAAACAAAAAACAATTATTCTTACAATCGGAAAAATATGTTTCGGCATTAAATAACCTAGAAAAGGTTGATAAACCGAAAAAAAAAACAAATCAATCAAACAAACAAGATATATAAATAGAGTTTACTGCAGCGTCATTATAAGTATATTAAAATCAATAGACACTTAAGTGCCATGTCTTTTGATACATGACTGACGTGGCAGATATTTTCCGCAATAGTTTGCCATTTCTTTCTGCTGTAGACCAGTTGCCATCCAAGGCTATAGAACCCGGTCTGACCTGCTATTTACCTATAGCAGGGGGAGAAGAAGAGGATTTATACCTTTCCCCAATGATTTTCGTAAGGGTTTCACTGGAATTCGAACTCGGCTCTCCAATTCCTCAACCCGAGCAGCTATACATTATTCCACCTCGCCTCCTCCGGAGGTAATCAATAACTGTAATTACAAATTGACTTTTCTTTTCACGACGCTGATAGACACAAAATATATTCTTGTGACAAGAAATACTTGAAGTTAATCATTGTATTGATTATTATGATAATGAGGAGGAGCTGGAGGATAATTCGATGTTCAGTTGATGATTACATTGAAAATGAGGAGAAAGAACTGGAGGAGGGGAAAGTCGATGCGAAGAAAGAAGAGAATGAAGAGGCGGAGGAAGTCAAGAATACTAACTATAATAATTGTCCGCTCGTCCCCGACATTGACAGCCATTACAAGGCTTGTCATCACTGGCAAAGGCGGCGCAGGCGCAAACAACAAGACAGATTATGATATCAGCGGAAGTGTCTTGAACGCTAACGATGACGTAAGCGAATGACATAAACGCAAATATGGCGGCAGTCAGCATTATGACGATGTTGTTTTCCATGATGAATCGAGTCCCGATTAAGCATGGGTACAATGACGACGGCATATTCTAGGGATCCGGTAGCTGGCTAGGGATGACGTCAACAGAAAACAAAAATCGACAACAGCGACAGCAGCATTCATGCAAATGATGCCATATATCCTGAAGTTGACGAGACGATGCGAATCAGTAACCTGTCATTTAAGTCACGTTGAGACGAGTTTCTCGTTAGCAGAAAATACGGGTAACTTTATAAATTGTCCTTTTTAAGAAATAAAATTTCCAATAAAATATAGAATTTCTAGCCTTTAATGATACGACGATCGTTAGTTAAACTAGCCTAGTTGTACGGCTTCACCTTTGAGGATCCAACCGTCATTTGTCATTTCATAAGTAAATAATATTTCAGCGTTCTATGACTAACAAGCTGTTTATTTAAACTGGGGTGTAGGCTATATGAGGAACAGATGTATAAATGTTCATTCACTCTAATGGTTACAGATCGGGTTGGGACAAATGTTCACGGCATTTCTCAATAGATGGCGTTTGAACACGTAATTTAGTTTCACATGTGACATAAATTCATGACATATACACATAATCTATATGTTGATATTTCAATGCATCTTTCTATAGGATTTGTACGTAGACTGTGAATATTAAATATTTTCACGTTAGAAGTTATTTCTTTAAAGATAATTTTAATAATAATTTTAATAATTTAATAGCTTAATAATTTAATATAATTTAATAATATAATTAAATAACATAATAATTTAATATAATATAATATAATAATATATAATATTATATATATTATTATCTATAATATTATATATTATATATAATATTAATATAACATAATATAATATAATAATACATATAAAGTAATATATATCATATAATATAATATTACATATATATAATATAAATATTATATATATATTATACATATATATATATTATATATATGTAATATAATATTAATATAATATGATAATAATTTAATAATATAGTTTGATAATAGTAATTTAATATTATGATTTAATAATATAATTTAATAATAATAATTAAATAATAATTTTAATAATTTTAAAATAATTTCACTACAAGCAAAGCAGTAAAGCTACTAAGATGCAAAGGCTTAGTGAGAGAATATGAGAAAAAAGAAAACATTATTAAGGAAAGATTATTAAAAATTATTAAACGAGCAGGAATTAAGAAGAAACACCATAAAGATTGACAGTGCATTTAATTTTTGGAAAAAGAAAGTTGACTGGAAAGCAAAAAGCCAGAAAATAATTCATTGCTTCGACTAATGATAGACTTGTGAATATGTAAGATAGACTCGGGCGAGAAAATTTGTCTAGCACGGCAGAGAGAAACTAATTTCGTTGCAGCAGACTTAGCAATTGATTCGATATATTCTTTCCAATCCATGCCAGTGGAAAACGTTAGCTCGACAAAGCGTAAAGAATCACTTCCCTGAAGGTTAGGATCAGCCATGCTGACTGAAGGCAAAAAGGTTTCTCCCAGACGATTATTAGAGAACAGTTTTGTTTTGAAGGCGTTAAAATTAGCAAACCATTCTTTGCTCCAGTTATCAAGAGAATGTAGGTCATTCCTGTGATCAGCTACAAATTTGAACTAATCATCCAGATCAGACTTAGTATTAAGACAACAGTAAATCGTTATTTCATTAGTACAGATAACGACTTGATAATGTCTTTGAAATTTATTTAAAACTTTATTCCGACCCAGTAGTCCTACAGAAGTAATAGTAAAAGTACACACACACATCTCCTTTTTCTTTATATATATATATATATATATATATATATATATATATATATATATATATATATATATATTCATACATTGAAAAAGAAGGAGGAAAGGATAGATAGATAGATAGATAGATAGATAGATAGATAGATAGATAGATATGGCCAAAATATGAGCAGAATGAGATAGTTATGGACACATACACAGATATGAACACACTGAGATAAATAGAAAGACATATATATATATATATATATATATATATATATATATATATATATATATATATATATATATATATATATATATATATATATATATATATAGATAGATAGATAGATAGATAGATAGATAGATAGATAGATAGATATGAATAGGTATAGATAGATATGAACAGATAGATAGATAGATAGAATATAGATAGATAGATAGATAGATAGATGAATAGATATGAACAGGTATAGATAGATATGAACAGACATAGATAGATAGATAGATAGATAGATAGATAGATAGATGAATGAGATAGATAGATAGATAATATGAACAGACATAGATAGATAGATAGATAGATAGATAGATAATATATGATAGATAATAGATAGATAGATGGATAGATATGGGCCAAAATATGAGCAGAATGAGATAAATAGGACACATACACAGATATGAACATATAGATAAATATATAGATATATATATATATATATATATATATATAGAGAGAGAGAGAGAGAGAGAGAGAGAGAGATAGATAGATAGATAGATAGATAGATAGATAGATAGATAGATAGATAGATAGATAGATAGATAGATATGAATAGGTATAGATAGATATGAACAGAAATAGATAGATAGATAGATAGATAGATAGATAGATAGATAGATAGATAGATAGATAGATAGATAGATAGGGGAATTTTATAATCATTGGTTTATAGCTGATTATTGTAAAGAAACTAAGATTGCAGTTAGTTCTGTCAGATGATACTCATTCTTCATCAGCGTTTCTGTGAACAGAGGAAAGCATCTGATTTACATCGTGCTGTTTACTGGTTGATCTTTGAAACAACTATGGTAAACGCGTCGAAAAACCAGATGCTTAATCTTAACAGACATGCCAGTATTCTGACCACATCTTCTTCCGACTTTACTATGAGCTTTCAAAACACAGGCCTTAAGCAGCACATATCTGTTTACTGAATATGATGAAATGGTAATAGAGAAAATAATAATTTTCACATTTCGGAAACTATGTTTAAATACCATTTATTGCTAAAGGATTAATTTAAATAATAAATACGGTGAGATGTAGATTCATTATTATTTTAAGTTCATGTACATCTCATCTACTTTGTCTGTATCTTTTCATTCTCACCTTTATCCCTTTCAATCATTATTGCAGGTCCATTTTTTTTTATCGAAATTTTATATAAAAAATAATTTAATTTAATGAGTAAAAAGAATCAGGTAATCCTGAATATTTTTTTTATCCCATCTTCATTTTTATTTTAATTTTCTTCAACTTCACCATAATTTAATCGTCTGGCATTTAAAAGCCTATTCATCTCTTGCTGCTTTTAAGTATTGTGACTCTTGTCTCTTGATGACCAGTCTAAGTATTTCTTTCGTTACCGTTCTCGCTATATCGGCATATATGCTTACTTTTTCCTTTCACCTTGTTTTCTTTTCATGTTTTTCTAGCTTTTATTTTACTTCCCATTTTTCCTCTTTTTCTATTTGCATCTTTTTACTGATTTTCCTAATTGTTTTTTATTATAAAAATAATTTCTTTTTATATAAGTAGTAATATGTACGTTAATCGATGAGAAAATTATTCCAGATCTGTCAGATATTGGGCTGCTACAACTGTCTAATCATTTATAGAATCTCGTAAAGGAGGCATATAAATAATAATAATATTTTTCTTAGTATTGTTATTCTAATTGTTCTAAAGAAAAACACTGCAAGAAGAAGGTAAATTGAATAATAATAATAATAATAATTCTAATATGGCGTCATAAAATGATTGATTCGTTTTCTACGGATTATCAACAAGTTATAATAGTGGTTTAACGACGTGAGTCTTAATAATTATTAGCTAAGAGAGAAGAGGTTGATCCATAAGTTCCCCAAGGGTATTTGCCCGGAAGTGAATATAACGAACCCAACTAGAATTAGAACTCGGCTCTTCGATTAACAATTGCGTGCCATTATTCATTATACCAACCGCACACCGAAGCTTACATCACCTGGTATTCGCATTTAGGAACTGGCCAGGCTCGACGTTGCTTAACTTCCGTGATCGCACGGGATCGTTGCTTAACTTTAAGTCTTAAAACATTGAAATCGTTGATACAATGGAAAACTGTACTGGCAGGAACAGCAACAAGATTCCTGACTGGCCATGTTGACAAGAGATTGGCAAAAATTTCACTGTAGGAAACAAGTCATCTACTTGGGAGAATATTATTAATAAAAAGAAAATATACACATTCTAGATGTTAAGTATCACTTAAAATCACTATGCAAATAGAATACATATATACAGCGGTATTTACAAACAAGCAACAGCAGCAACAGAAATGAAAAAAAAAATTGCGTAAAAGAAAAGAAACTAGCTACTTTAAACAGCTCGCTAACCGCTTGATATGAATTGGTCACCAAACAGAAGCGTACATACTACGCATGCGTGAACAGACACTCCCGTTAAATTGCGTACTGAGTGACCGGCGCACTTATCGTGACCATGTCACCGCCTATTTTTCACGTCTCGTGCAGGAACTTTGGCAAAACATCGCACCACGCAGTCCTGCTCTCCAGAGTCATAGCAAGGTAAGGCGGTGGTAGTCGCTGGGCGCAGTTGTGAAGGGGCGCAAATTTAAAATCTGGCGGGAAAAGTTCACCTATAATTTAATGCAGCTATGGACACCAGCTTTGCATAAGAATTTAAAACAATTTTAATCTGAACATAACTAAAACCTAAGAATGTCTTTACATGTGAGTTTCTGATATATCAACCCATTAGGTCATATAATGCCGATATATTTTTTTCCTAAATAAAGCATTTTACTATGAATAGGTATTGTTGTGAATTTTATTATAAATAGGTTGCTTGCTTTTGTTAAGCGGCACATCAAAACCTATGTATTATTTAATGAGTAAATATAATTATTTTGAACACAATTTTGTCTTCAACTAAATATATTTTTAACGCAAATATATGCGTTCGACTATAGATAAGATGTACTGTTGGTCATTTTCTAGAAAAATATTGGTAATTTTACCATAAATATGTATTGTTGATTATTTTACCATATAAAAAAAGTATTATTTTTACTATAAAAATATTTTTTTATACTTTCATAGTGTTTTGTTTTGGGGTTCCTATTGCCCATAGCTAGAACCCTAACAGATTCTACCACCTCGGGTCAGGGCAGACCCGGGAACAACAGTAATTAAGAGACTCTATAAATAGGTATTTTTATACTTTCATAGTGGTTTGTTTTTAATTGGGTGTTCACTATTTACCCATAGCCGGTACCCTAACTGGGACCTGGGAACAATAGTAATTAAGAAGTGGTTCCACTCTCCTCAAAATCTACAATCTCCCAATCATAGGTTTTTCTGCTGGATGCAAACTCTTAATTAAGAATATAACGTTGATCACAACAGTTACTACATTGAAAATAACGTTATCCGATGGAATGAATTTCAAAACGATTTAGAAATTGTCTCCTTAGTACTGAAGTCTAATTCAGCTATTTCCAGTTTCACAATTATGACGTTGCAACCTAATTTTTGGCCGAGATAAAGTTGTAGTTGATTTTTTGTTAATATCATTCAGAGAATAATAAGTCGCAAAACATGATGTAACTATCTCAGGGGTAACTCAACTGGACATGTCAAAATTGGATTCTAACCCAAACGTTGCGATCTCTTTCGACGTCACTGCAAGCTATGACTCTAGGGTCTTCAATGTTATCGGTCCTGATAGGGTATCGCCGTTTCACTCACATTCTCATCGCCGTAACTTCGCTTCTATATGCCTTTTCTATAAGTATTTTCATAGTAATTGTTTCTGATGAGCTTTCCTCTTTCGTAACCTCAACTACACAAATTTTGCGCAGTGCTAGAATAGCATCTAGGTCTCACCGTTTGACTTGTTGAGACTTGTAACCGCAAATTCTATGCTAATAGTCTCTTCTCTCGCTTGCGGAATAAACTTCCGGATTTATGTTTTTTTTATTCAACTTTGATCTTAAAAAATTAAATACAACGTCAATCGTCATCTCTCTCCTTGAGACTTAGTTTTCATTACCTATCCCTCCTTCCCTCTCTCACTCTCCTTCCCTTCCTCTCTCTTCAGTTTTTTTTTCCCCACTCTCTGTAAACCCTTGCGCCTCGGTGGTATTATCGTCATATTTAGGGTGATTTGATTAATGAATAAAATAATAAAAAAAGTTCATATTTTACGCCGTGCAACGTCTGGCTTTTCTTCAATCTAAAGGCGCGTAATACTTCAGCGTATGAACGAGATTAAGTAGAACACAAGTTGAGGTGATGGCGATTCTTAAAAAAGAATTTGCTTAGTTTAGAAAAGTGAAAGGGATGTTAGGATAACATTTTATATTTTTGTTTTGTTTTTTTGTTTCGTTTTTTTTTTTTTTTTTTTTTTTTTTTTTGAATAGTTGTGTTCCACTCGTGACGCAACAAGGATGTCTTTTAAATTTCAACTGAAGCCAGCCGGAAACTTTCAAAAGAGTGTCATTCTTGTAAAAGTCCGAATCCCCAAGGGTCTATAACCGGTGGAATGTGCCAAATTTTTAATCTCGTGTCGTTTCTGCCAACGAGAGAATAATTTAATTCCGGAAACTGCGAAATTAAAATTGCATCAATTTTTTTTATTTTTATTAGCTTCTTTATTAATTTTACATCATTTCAATTAATTTGCATTTCTATCTTCCTCAATTGTATTTTTTTTTACTTTTTGTTATTACACTTTCTTTTTCTTTTATTTTTTTTTATTATTGTCTATTTTTCTTTCTTTCTCTCTTTTTCTTCCTTTTCCTTCTATTTCTTCCATTCCATTCCATCTATATGGCTTTTTTTATTCTCTCTCTTTCTTTTTTTGACTTTTCTTTCCTTGTTTCACATTCATTTTCTTCTTTTATTTTCGTTACTTCTTTTTCTTATTTTCTTTCTTTTTCTTTCTTTTTCTTCCTTTCTTCCTATTTTGTTGAACATTTTCTTTGCTTTTGTTCCATTTTTTGTTTTACCGATCTTAAATTTTATATTATTTCTTCATAACTCTCTTCCTTAAAATATTCTTATTCATCCTGTCACTCTTTCATCCTCTCTCTCTCTCTCTCTCTCTCTCTCTCTCTCTCTCTCTCTCTCTCTCTCACTTTAGGAAATCTTTGACTATATAAATAGTTGTGTATTTTCCATTGGTACATTTAATCACTATTCGAGCACGTGTAAAAGTGATGATTTTGGATGGATATTTTTTTCAATGCAGACAAACTCTTTTTGGAATTGTTTGACAGCATATTCGCCCTCACCATGGGAAATTGTGTCAAAATGAATTAAACTTCCACTTTTAATGAAACACTCTCATAGCCGAATCCATTATATTCACTGTGTTCAGTGAGACGAGGTTGTTAACATCGCCAAATTTATATACAGTAAGTTCAGCTAGGGCACCTCGGCGTAGTGTAATGGTTAATAAGCTTGTCTCACTAGAACAATTTTTTTTTAAGTATTACACCCTGAGCAAGGCGTGAAGCCACTAGGATGCAGGGGGTTGGAGAAGATTTGGAACGAGAGCAGATAGGAGTGATAGAAGAAAGGATGAGTATCGTGGATAGATCAAGGTAACTGAAGATGTCGATTGACATTACATTTGAATAGCTGGAGATTATAGCTCTC